TATATATATATCGTCACAAACAGAACTGCCCGGTAAACCGTAGGCAGAGAGAGAGAAGAGGACAACAAACGAGGGGCTGTGACAAACTGTTTCGTCGGAGTTATAAATACACATTTATACTATATCGTCGTCTGCATGTTCTACGAGAGTACCTTAATCCTATATAAATATATCACTTTTCATAATATTATATAATATATATAATATTATATACATATTATATAATAAATATAAAGAACATCGTAACATAACTATTAAAAATGAAATCCGCAATCAAATTGAAAGAAAAAAAAAAAGCGACGAAAGTTAAGAGAGAGGGAAAAAAAGAAAAAAAAAAAAGAAGACGATCTGTTTATTCAGACTCTCGCAACAACTTACCTGGGGCGAGGTCTCACAAGCAAAGAGGATCGGACTTAACGCCTGAATCTGGACGTGGATGTGGCCAGGTGCAAATAATCGCGATTGATCTGCTTTTCTGCATCTCTGCATAAAATACATCCAGATTCAGGCGCTTGCTCCAATCCACCTCTTTGCTAGTGGGACCTTGCTCCTACACTAGCAAGTCTGATACATGAACTCGTTTCCCTTTTCACTTTTCATCATTATATTATATTCGATTAAAAATATACAAATAAATTCTGACGAGTCATCATCTTTATCATCACTTCACTATATAATTAAACATAAATAAACAAAAAATGACGAGGAATAATTACTGTATTTACGTATATGTTCTTACCTGGAACAAAATCTTAACACGTTCAAGAGGGGCGATGATCGTCTTCGCTACTCCTCCGGATACGCCTCCCGCAATCAATTCCTTCGCGAAAGTAGGCAACTGATGATGATAGGTCCAAGATCCCGACGATGATAGATTGCCATTAGCAGATGAGACACTCACCGACGGGATCCCGTTGCCTTCGTCTCCTCCCCCCTCCCCTCCCTCTCCTCCCTCCCCTCCCCCCACCTTCTGACACCCCGAGTTCGCCATCCGCCTCTCTCTCTCTCTCTCTCTCTCTCTCTCTCTCTCTCTCTCTCTCACACACACACACACACACACACACACACACACACACACACACACACACACACAGATCGAAAGCTTATACAACGCTCCTCGCGCGAATCGTTGGTGAATTCAATGAATGTATCCGTGATTCGTCAAAGTTGCTCTCTCTCTCTCTCTCTCTCTCTTTTGCTAGCTCGGTCCTGGCGCGAATCGTCGGTGATACACTGAATGTATCCGTGATTCGTCGAAGCTGTCGAATGTCTTCGGAACTGATTAGGCGAATTTATTGTTAAAAAAAAATCGAATTATTCCTCTTGGATTTTATTTTGGTTATGATTGAAGGGGGAAGGAAGGAAAATCGTCTGCCAGTGGAGGGACGACATGTGTCAGCGTGGGGTGCGATGATGACGTTGATGCTGTCCAGGAATGGAAAGTTTACTTTGCACTGACGACGAACTGATCTCTTTCCACAATTGGCAATGATAACGAGGATACCGACGAAGATGACGGTTTTGACGCCCAGAAGGAGCAGGAGGAGGAGGAGGAAGAGGAGGAGGAAAAGGAGGAGGGGAAGAGAGAGGAGGAACGGGAGGGCAACAACGAAGACGACAACGGGGGTGATACCCACGTAATCCCCACGTGTACATCCCGTCGTCCTCTTGAAGCCATCCCCATCCCGACGTTCCTCATCCTCCTTCCTAATTAGGAAAGAATGGCCAGCGAGGAGGTTCGAGGGTGAGGAGGATAAATTAGGAAGGTGAGGGACAGACAGCCTTTCCTTCTCTCTCCTCTCCCCCCAACGCTGCACCGGCAAGTAATAAACAGTAATTAACCGATCCAACAGCAGAAAAAGGCGCACAAGATGACACGTGGCAGCCAGATTACCCGGTGAGACGTGCCAGCCATTTACAAGATGACACGTGTCATTCAGCTACAAGATGACACGTGTCCGCTGATGCGAGGTGTGGCCTTGCGAGTAATACATCGTCGATCCTTCTAACCGGTAACGGATCGGGATCTCAAGCCTACCGCTCCTCATCTCCTCATATCTCCAGACCCATTGCCGCGACTGCTGACGTGGCGCTTCCCTGTTCCTCATGCGCAATTTCACATGAACTAGATCTTCTTCTTACACACCTGCAACTGTCGGGATCTCAAGCCTACCGTCTCATCTCCTCATTTGTCCAGACTCATTACCGCGACTGCTGACGTGGCGCTTCCCTGTCCCTCGTCCTGCGAGCAATTTCACATCAACGAGATCCTTCTTCTAACACACCTGCAACTTCACCCCTTTTCCTCCCTTTCCTCTCCTCCCCCCTCTCTACCTTCCTTCTCTCTCTCTCTCTCTCTCTCTCTCTCTCTCTCTCTCTCTCTCTCTCTCTCTCTCTCTCTCTGTGTGTGTGTGTGTGTGTGCGTTGTGCACCCGAGAGTTCTCCCCCTCTCTCTCCCTTCTCCTCCCTTCCCTACGCCAAGACCGAACCTCCTCTCTCACCTACCCACCACGCGCGTGCCCAACCGAGCAGCACGAACCTCCTAATCCCCGGCCACCACCCCTGCTACACCCCCACCATCCCGTCACACCCCAACCGAACAGCCAACGACCCCTTCTACACCCCCCCGTCGAGCCCCCAACCCCCCTGCCACCGCACCTACAACGTTGCTACCGAACCTCCTTCCTATGCCCCCCCCTCCTACGTCCCCACCACCCAACCTCCCACGCCGCTACGGGACCCCCTTTCCCACACCAGCATGATCTCCCCTGGCTTCAGAAATCCGTTCCGTTGATTGATTACCTGTTTGTTATTACCTACCCTCTCGGCTTTTCACTCTTTTTTTTTTTTTTCTTTTAACGAGGACGAAAAAGCTGCAGTGCACGTCACCTACCCTCTCGGCATTTTTTTTCTTTTTTTTCTTTTTTTCCTTTTTTTTCTTTTCTTTTTTTTTTTTTTTTTTTTTTTTTTTTTTTTTCCTTTTTTTTCTTTTCTTTTTTTTTTTCTTTTTTTTCTTTTTTTTTTTAACTACCCTCTCGGCTTTTCACTCTTCCCGCTGCAGTGCACTCACCTATCATTTTTTTCTAGTTTTTTATTTTTTCAGTACACGTCACCCATCATGGCTATCTGATACCATATCATCATAACATCATTAATCATCATAACATTTATTTTTATTATTAGATTAAAAAAACATACATTGAAAATTTGATTGCAATATTTGTCTCCCCCCTCCGGTTCATTTTCCCGCCTACGCCGCCGCGCTCTCTCTCCGCGCATCAAGTCTTCTAGCGGACCTTTGCCGTAGTCACCCTGTCTCTCTCGAGTCTTTGTCGAGATGCGCGGCCGGGGTCGCGGTCGCACTACCGGTAGGTTGGTAGCCACGAGGATTGGATTCAACACCTGAATCTGGACATGTTTCCCGAAGGCGTACAGAACACTCCGCATCTGTGCTTAAAACCCGTCAACGTTCAGGCGCTTGATCCGATCCTCTGTGCTAATTGGGACTTCGCTCCAGGCGGCTTCCATTTGCCCGCCACATCGGCGTCAACGTCCCGCCAGCGAATTCGAAAATTTTCGCGAAAGAGAAAAATAAACGCAAAACAAAGAAAAGAACAGAAGACGACAAAATCGTCACTCGCGCCGGCGATAATTTTCCACGATATTCGGCTAAAATTGCATATTACATATATGTCCCTCGTGGGGGGAAATCTGCAGCGCCCAGCAGCCCACGGTACTGACCGGCGGCGGGCGGAACACACCTGCTGCTGGAACTGGCAGCCTTTTTTTTTTTCTTTTCTTTTTCTTCTCTCCCGGCATGGCACGTGAAACGAAACGAAAACGATGAATGAATGAAGAAACGAAGCCCCCGAACCAAAGGACGTTTCTTTCTCTAACTTGTCATGGGCTTTTTTTTTTCCCCCTAAACAGGTCGTGCGCTCGAATCTGTCGCCGAATGAGGGAGTAATATAATACACGAATCAAAACACAAAAGAGGATAAAGGCTCTGCGTCGTCCAACGCCATCGGGCCAGGGGCATGAGCACCCACGCGACGATATCTATGTTGACGTCACCATCGCCAGGGGATGTCCAACATGTGCAGGGTTCCACTAGCCCACGAGTAATCAATGGATGGACTGCTACAACGCGTGCGACACTCTGAAAAATGTGAAAAATTAATTGCGTAAGCGGCATGCGTACATTGGAGCAGAAACTGAGTGCAGGCTTCAGGCACCCCACGAAGGGACTGAGGGCATACTCACACGGGGACCACAAGTCTCAAAAATTTGAGGCATTTGGTTCGGCTTTTTTTAGGCATTTGGTCCCCGTGTGGTCGGTCACACGGGCTCTGGACGAAGTCGCGACCCTGACACTTGGCATTCAGGGCAAGTGCGCCCGGTCACACAGGGGAGGACCAAACGAAAAGATGGATGGTTTAATTATTTTTTTTGACGCTGGGGCCTTGTTTTCAACGTAAATGTTCCTGGTCGCACTTTCAGTTGTTTGGGGGGCTGTCTTCTTCGTCTACGATTCTCTTCAATTCGCCAAAACAGGGAAAAAAAAAAACGAAAGGTAATTTGAGACCACCTCCGGAGGTGGTTCCGCTGATTTGCTCAGACACTTCCCAGGGACTGATGGTTCTTACCAGGACGAGTCCCTTTCGCTCCCCTCCATCTCCGTGCCCTCTGCTCTGTCAGAGGACTCTCTCATCAACATGACAACAGAGCAAGTACTGCACAATCAAGGCTCCTGTACTCTCCTACAGGAGCCCAGGATGGGAAGATACTTAGCCGTGCTGCCAGATGGTAGCTATCCGACGAGTACGATGGCTGGACAGCAGGTAAGACTCAATGGCAACCTTTACTGGATTAGGAAGAAAGCCTCTACTCTAGCTGTGGGCAGAGCGGAGGCCCAACAAATAACGGGAGTAACAGAACAGGGCCTGTTCAACTTTTGGAAAGCCATGAGAAAACACCCAGTGCAGAAACATGCGAGCATCATGTGGATCCAGTCCCTGATGGTGACAGCAACAGCAATGTGGCTGTCCAGCAGAGGAATGGAGATACAGACACAATGCATGAGGTGCAATTGGGGCTGGGAAAATCTGATCCACCTGTGGCTCTTCTGCCCACTAGCGGACGAACACATGATGTGGTGGAAGAAACACTGGGGGATAATAACGCATAATGGGTTTACCTGGACTGATGTTTGGATGCTACCAGGCATTATCCAGGTGGCTTCTGAGTGGGATTATGTGGCGTTGTGTTGTAGAGGAGTCCTAATGGATACAATCTGGGCTGCTCGCAATGCGAGAGTCTTTCTAGGGGAAGTTATGGCGAAGACTCATCAACATCTCAGAGTGAAACAAGGTATCAGGCGTATCATCCAGGCAGATTGGCAGCGGAAGAACTGCATTTGGTTCCAGAGGAATTGGGCTCGTAACAGTAGACTCGCCTCAATTAGCCTGGAAGGCAGACTAACTATTTGCGCATGGCTGTATGACACACACGATTGACTGGGAGGCACACAGGGCCACAGGTGGGCCCGTGCAGGCCACTATTAGTTGCACTAGGCTAGGTCCGGCTTCTTGATGTCAGAGCTTTCAGGTTAACTGCTTACAGTCTTTGGGGTTGTAAAAGCAGTATACATTTTTTTCGAGCTTCAAGGTCATTGGAAAGTAAATCAGTTTCTTGTGGGATTTTGTATGGGACACTGGACCCGGTTTCCAGCAGCGGTTCTATGAGACTTTCGGGAAAAAAAAAAAAAAAAAACCAACAACAACAACAACAACAACAACTTTACTGGATTTTATTATTCGTAAATCTGATTCTTTAGAGAAAATCCGGGTAGGGCCCACCCTGTCAGCCCTCGCTATCGCAGACTGGCTAGCCAGTATTGAGGCCATGGAAACACTTTCAAGTGAAAGATTTTCGAACATGGTTCGAGAGGCTGGTCTGATCCACCCTGATATCCGCATCCAAAACCCCGGCGGCAACATCCCAGCTCATGGTTCTGCCCAGTAGGGTAAGACTAGTGAGCTGGAATGTCAAAGGCCTCGGGGATACATCAGGCAGACAGAAGAAAGCACAGCTGTCTGCGTGGTTTCACTCTGAGCATGCACATATAATATGCCTGCAAGAAACCAAATTGAATTTGGAAAAGATCCAGGAGGCTGGAAACTGGTGCCCGGGTCAGCAGATCTGGGCTCCAGCAGACGGCTCAAAGGGCGGAGTTGCAGTCTTGATACATAAAAACCTGGATTGCCTCATTCTAGACTCCTATGGAGATCCAGGCGGTCGTTTTGCCTGGGTTAAAATAGAAATTGGGTCAGAACACTGGTGGGTTATGTCGCTATATGCTCCTTCGGAATTTATTGCTAGAACGGAATTCTTTTCTACCCTGTCGTCTTGTCTTCCGGACACCGAGACCTTAGCAATCCTCGGGGACTGGAACACTACCTTGAACCCAGGCTTGGATTCTCCAGAGCCCTTTCCTCTACGCTCAGACGGTACTTTACTTTAACTTTCATAAATAAAATAAAAACTTAGAGCCCTATGTTTTGAGAACAATTTATTTTCAAAAATATTCACGAATTCAAAAAAGATTTGAGACCCAAGGCCTTACAGACACTACCGGATTATGAATCCGGAAGACCACGGATTCACATGGTATGGTCCTAAGCCGGAACCCAACCTGCCACAGCCCCACAGACGTCTAGATTTTATTGTCGCTCGGGGGTCACTGTGGGAGCGTTGTATCCATGCGGACTACAGTGTCTCACATATCTCTGATCACTGCCCGGTATACATTGACGTGGTCTCTAGAGAATTGGTACGGACATCCCGCCCCCCCTTCAGGTTAAACACTAGCATTCTGAAGGACGAAGGGATTCCGTCATTGAACTCTGGCTGGTTGGATGCCAAGGACCTTTTTGATTCGGAGGACCACTGGGCAGAAGTGGGAGTGGCAATTATCAGGGAAGCACTCATAGTGTTTTCACGGATGAAAGCTGCTAACCGGGTTTGGAAAGAACAAAAGCTCACTAGATTGGTGGAGGAAGCAGAGGCAAACTTGAGTCAGGACCCGTTTGCAGATCTTTATTGGATAGACAAAAGATTATCTGCCCTCTCCGCCCTAGAAGCTCTAGAGATCCAAAAGCAAACACAGTGGCTAGAATGGCTTGAACTATGGGGCATTGTAGGCTACGACAGAATGACCAGACTAACCTTTGGATCCTTAATTCTTGGGCAGGCTAAACCAGTAATTAGAGAACTGGTTCACCCCTTCGACCTCAGGAGTCATACAGCGGTGGATGCGATGGAGCTGTGTTCCTATGCGAGAGATTATTTTCGTGATATTGTATCTACCCGCAGGCCATTTGATGGTTTTGACACTGATCTTTCCCTCCACTCAGAATTTTGGGCCCGTACCACAGCCAATATTACTCTATGGACAAAGGAAGAGATGGAGGCTCCTCTGTCGAAAAAGGAACTTCACCTAGCGGTGAAACAAATGGCCAAGGGCAAGTGCCCTGACATCGATGGTCTCCCAGTTGAGCTTTTTCTCTGCTCATGGGACGCCTTCGCCCCCTTCCTGTGCCAAATATATAACAAGGCTCTTCATACGGGCTCCCTCCCGAAGTCCTTTGTAAAAGGATTCATTGCGTTCCTCTATAAAAAGGGGGACAAAAAAGAAATCCACAACTACCGCCCAATATCAGTCTTGAATGTTGTTTATAAGATCTTGGCCAAAGCCATAGCTCTGCGGCTCGCATCTGTTCTCCCCCAGTTGGTAGGGTGGGAACAAGGTGCCTTTGTCAGAGGTCGGTCCATCTTTGAGAATATCCTTACTGCAATACAGGCTTTGGAAGTTATTAGGGCCGAAAAGCGGGATGTGACGATTCTCCTCCTGGATATGGAGAAAGCGTACGATAAAGTCGGGTGGGCCTTTGTTTCCACCACGCTGGCCAGGATGGGTTTCGGGCCTGGGTTTTCCAACTGAGTACACGCAATGTACGCAAATACTGTGTCTCAAGTCATGGTCAACGGGCAACTTTCTGATGAATTTTCCCTTTCCCGGTCTTTACGGCAAGGGTGCCCGCTTGCCCCTCTGCTTCTTGTTTTACAACTAGAAGTACTTTTGGATAATATTAGATTTAATGATCAGATAATAGGTTTGAGACTCAGCCCCTCTCTTGAGTGGAAAGGGGGAGCTATCGTAGACGATCTTACAGTCGCCTGCGAAAACTCCCCGGAATCCCTAAGAGAGTTGTGCAGGGTCCTAGAGGAATATTGTGCCCTTTCTGAAGCTTCCATCAATTTGTCCAAGTCTGTTTACCTTCTTTCGGACCTGTTTGAGTTTCTATCAGGCAGTCTGGTCTTCTGGGCAAATGGGAGAATTTGTGGCTCAAGGGATATTAACTCTTCTTTATAAAAAAAAAGAGAAAACCAACATTCGTAACTATCGCCCTATTACTCTCTTAACAGTGGCTTACAAAATGATGGCGAAAGCCCTAGCTAATGGACTATCCAAGGTT